GTTCCCGTTGATTGTGTGAGTGCACGGACACAGCACACGGGCCACGGAGTCTCCCCCCTTAAATTAGAATTCTCTGTTGTTTCTTTAATTCAGTTACTTGGAAAACAAAGGAAGCGTTACTGTCATAGCAATATAAAGCCACAAACACTTATGAAATACAATAATAACGATTGACGTCAGCACTGTTCCGCGTATCGAACGTAAAATATAAACAGTTAAAATAGCACACTAGACGAAGTAAGATTACCACTTATTTATACTGTAACAGTAACAAAACTGCCGTAATGTGAATAGATATTGAATAAAACAAAATACTTAATACAATATAACTATTCAATATCTTCTGCAAAGAAATAGCGTATCGTTTTGCAGATATAGTAAAAGTAAATGAAATTAATAAAATTCTGTTCATAGGAAAAAAGAAAACTCTATTAGTAAAATAACTTTTAAACTTCTCATTGTGTCTCCATAAGAATATTGTCAAAGAATTCATAAAACTCCTATAATCAATAAATATATTATACAGGGTGTCATATAATTGGTGGTAAAACCGGGTAGGGGGTAATTCTACGTGAAAAAATAAGTCAAAAATATACAATAAAATTGTCTCATTTAAGACTTCATTTTCAAGAAAATTCACTATGAAGATTCATTTGTAACGCGTGTATTCGTGTTGGCAATAAGTAGAAGCGGAATACAATGAACAAATGAGTTAGCCAAGTCCTATTCAATTGCACACGCATCTAGCTGATTTTGAATGTCAGTTTATTCGAAAACACAGTCTCAAATGAAAAAATTTAATTCTATATTTTCAACTTATGTTTTCACGTAAAATCACCCCAACCCGGTTATACCACCGGTTACATAACATCCTGTATATTATAGGCCTTAAACGCCTATAATCAAACTGTTTTCAAAAATTCATTATCGACATACAGTACCGTATTAATTTCAAGAATGTTGTGTACCTACGATAAGACGTTTCTTGCGTGACTTTCTACTCAGAATTGATTATACAATAATGTGACGCAATACTTTTATACGTCCCTGCAGACTAAAATAACTTGACAGCAAACATTTACTGTATTCAAATGGAAATTTTTTCCAAGGTGTTAATAAAAATGTGAGACCCTTTCACAGGAACAGAAATAGCTTTTAGAAATTCATTACCGTTAGCCGTCGAAATTTCTGTCAATAAAGAAAATTTCCGGCAATAACGGAATTTCCAAAATATTACAATGAGGCACATTTTAAATAGTTTCAAAAGACTATCGTACTTCGTTACTTTCGTTTGCTGCGAAACTTCTACTCAAAAGTGAGGAAGCGAAATTACAGAATAATTCAACAAAAAAAAAATAAGTTCATAGCAATCTTAATATTTTATCTTATGTTATTAAAATTACTATTTCAATTGTGTTTTTTTCTTTTCATATGGAGAAAAGCAAAAGACCATTCGGCATATACGTGGACCAGCTGCAGCGGTTTTTAGCGGGTAACATCTAATTGTAAACATAATTTATGTGTATACAACATAATATGTATGTATATAATAAAAAAGTTAGACATTGAAGTGGAAAACATTTATTTTCTTCTTTTTAAATGCTTCCTGAATCAATATTTTTTAACTTTTTTATTTTACTTAGAGGTTACAAAGTGAAATTATAAAATAATTAAAAATAAAAAGTAAAACCGCCGCATTGGGATTTGAACAGGATTTCTTGACTGTTCAGGCGCTTAGGTTGCGGGGCATCGCGTCGAGAACGTGAATTTTCGCCGCAGTCGTATTCGAACAGGATTTCCAAGGCAAGCAGTGATGCCAGAATCGTGGGTCACTTTCCCCCACTCTTTTCTAAGCATAGCTCACCGTCTCTCGAACGGCCTGCGCACATGGACAGGGCTGGGATATACTTGTGTGTGTGTGTGCCAGCACGGTGACGTAAAGTGGGGGTAGCCAGGACGTCAGCACACGAAATGATTTCTGCGCACGCGCTCTGGTTGTTGGGAGTCGCGTTGGTAACGTAGATCTTACGGAAACACCCGACGAGCCAGCTCACACGGATAGAAGCAAAGTATGCTTGTGTGGCAGAAACTGTGGAATAAAGTGGGGGTAGCCAGGACGTCGTGGTGGTGGAAGCAAGTTCCACGATTCTGGCATCACTGGTCGGGATCCCAACAGTATAAATCGCATCGGGATCCCGACAGATGTCGGGTCCCGTAACGTATTTGGATCCCGAAACATATTCGAGTCCCGAATGATATTTTCGAGAACTTTTCCGTCTAACGGAAAAAAATTATACTATACAATACGATGCCATACTGAATCTTCAGGTTCATGCTATGAACTATAAATGCTAAATAAGTTAACGATTCCAAATGGAATCCTGCGGTTAGACAGGATTAATAATACAATCTTCAGTACACATTTATTCGTACGTTATGTTTTTATTAAGTAAAATAAATAAAGTGACAGTATTAGGGACATTTAATCTATCATACAATATACAGACATATACAGAATATTATTTTAAATTATAATGTATTAAAACATAATTCCTCGACATTGTCTGGCAATAATTATGTTTTTTACATTATAATTTAAAATAATACTATTTATGCCTGTATGTTGTATGATAGATTAAATGTCCCTAATACTGCCACTTTATTTATTGCCGTTAGACCGAAAAGTTCTCGAAACTATTACTCGGGACCCGAATATGTTTCGGGAACCGATGCGATTTATATTCTCGGGATCCCGGCCGCTCTCGCCTGACTTGCCCCGACCCGATCCGAATCTCAGGAATCCCGTAATTTCGGGTACCCACAAACCTCTGGTAAACTCCTATAGAACATAATCATTCTATTTTTATATTTCTAGGATCACTTTGAGGCCCAAGAGAACTTCTGCAGAGGGTTAGTGTTCTCACCGTGGCAAAACCTTTATATCATCAATTGATATACATATATGTATAAAGAAAATTGGCCACATTTTCAACCAGTGAGGTAGAATGAACCTTTAAATGGCATAACCCACCGTACCAGACGTATTTCCCACGTATTATGCCCGTATTTCCAATACATAACTAATAGCTCAGAAACGTGACTTCGAAAGAAATTTCTTTATCCTCGATTTTCGTCTTAGTTTGGGGAGTAGCATCCACCCTGTGAAAGTGTCTCGCATTTTTTTTACACCCCGTATGATGTCTCTAATCTACTTGTAACCGAAGAAAATTTACCGTGCTATTGCTCCAAGACGACGCCATCTCCGGAGTAGTGGGTGTCGTGTAATGAACTTGCACCGTGGCACTGTGGAAAATGATATACTCCCCATTGTTCAACTCAATCCTTCGGTTCCAGGTGTTTATCATACACGCTTGTTTATACTCCTCCTCGAGTTTCGCAGCAGTGCTCTCGTCGTAAGGGACGTATCGCGACTCGGTGGGCCCTTTGAAGAACCACGAGCATCGTCTCACTTCCGTCGATGATCCGCTCCAATAAACGGGCGATCTCTGACGACGTAAAATGTCGACATCGTAACGACCACCGTCGGTGGCGACGGTGGCCTCGGGGGTAATTTCACTGGAATTGTGAACCTCTTCTAAACGTAAGCTATCTTGCATGGAGAACGGAAGCCATAACACTTTGTATTCCACCTCTTTGCGATAAAACCAATGATGGTACACCGTTCTGCACTGCATGCGTTTGACTGAAGGGCCAGCAGCCTGAAACGCATTGACGATGTAATAGCAGAAAAGGTAGTGACAAATCTGCTGTCCACAATGCAAGTGTGTATGTGTATATTCAATATCACATCTTATATTTTTGTGCATGACGGAATTGAAACACTGTATAAAATAAATAGATTATACAGGATGTTGCGCATTTAGTGACAAAACTAAGTGTACAATTGTACTACGTGCAAAAAAAAATCTGAATATCTAGATAGAATTTTCAAATTCATCAAATACACATATTTTCCTCTTCAATTCACGCGTTTACCAATTACTGATTATTTCTACTTCTGTTACCACTAGAACTACCAAACCCGTAAAAGTGGTGGATTTTAGACCGCTTCTTTTATTACAGTTACTGAAATCATAATGGTCCTTTCATCGGAATTTATGACGACCTTCAATTTGTTATACATTTTATATTGTATTGCATTATGCTAAATTATATTGAATGTTATATTATACTATTTAATTTGATATACATCTTACGGTACAATCTTACGTAGCTCTAGTGTTAATGTTTACAGACACTAACAGTATTATTTCAGAATGATTAGCGTTATACATATGTATGTATATGTATGTAACTATTAATATTATTTTACAATTATTTTGTTTAAATTAGTAATGGAAAAATACTTTCATTCATTGTAATAGGATAAGTGTTTACTGTAAATAGAAATAGTGAGTTATAGTCGAACATACCAGCCAGCCGTATTCAAAACCATGCATGACCAATAACTATTTAAATTCGACTTTTTCAAAAACGTCAATTCGCATAAAAAGGATTATTCTAACTTCTTGATTTGTTTTTGCACGTAGTTTTACTTTGCTTTCGGTTAACTAGTAATTGTGACACTCTGTATAACTTGCAATCCTTAATAGAAAAATCTATTAGTGGTACTTCAATGTTCACGAGGACAACATTGAAGGTATCAAAGTAAACACATTGCAATACATATTCTGTTTTAAGGGTTCTTCGATAAATAAAAACACACGCATAGGAAACTAAATCACGCTGTCATGCCAAAGATTCACTCTGAATCTGTAGCAGTGTTATCTTCTTAGTTGTTGCAATTGTGATTAATTTATACTGTTTGATTTTCAAACCTCACAATTCAAGTGTCCAGAATTAATTTTGTCTTCTTCAGATTATACAGTCATACATTAAAACCAAAAAGATATGTATTTTTTTAATTAGTTTTTCATTTTAAAAGTAATAATACATCAGCTTTTCGAAAGTTATATTTCGAAATAAAACGAGAAATGTATACATACACGTTTACATGTCGTACTACACTAGTATTTCACAAGTTGTTTCAAAAAGAATAAATGTGATTCTGAACACTTGTATAATATCACTTGATAATTACAATAACAAACATTAGAAGCAAAATATAACTTTAACGAGTCTTTGAATGCTTTAAGTGCTGTTAGTGTAATAAATATTATAGCACGACTATTCAATTATAGAAAAGTTATCGAAACTGTCAATATATTCAGAGATAGTTAGAAGTTCATGAAAGTATGAATAAATAACCAAACGTCCGGTAATCAGGATAATCAATACAATTCTATCTTCGAAGCGGCCAATATAAATTTTTGCAATAGAGACAAAACGTCTCATAGAACACGGGAAGATGTGTCTTATCATCAAGGAAGATCCTGTCGAAAAATAATCTAAACTGTGAGCTTTTCGTGTTACCTTCAATTTTGTAATTTTATTTATGGAACAACCCAGAATAGAATAAAAATTTTTATTAAAAATATATTTCTATTTAAAGCATTGTTTTCTCGTGTGATCTTTTCAATTTCAGATTAAAAATCCGACAAAACTCATAAATTTGAAATTATACGAAAACGTTTACTCATAAGAAAGAAAAATGGTATGCGTTGAAGAAGAAAGAAAAATTGTATGCATGTACCTCGTAGAAAAAGAAAATTGTATGCCTATAATTCATGTATGTGTAGAATTCTCACAATCAATTATTTTCGCAGAGTTTGAGAAGAAAGAATGTATCAAAAATGAAAGCGAATCTTCGTACATCCGTAAATAAAAATATTCAAAAAATGTACTCCGTGTGATTTTTAACTGAGAATCCTCAGTGATGGTAAACATATTTCGATGTGTGTACAAATTTAACTAATAAAAGATTTTTTCACTATTTCGTTAATGTTTAGAAAGTGCTCAAAAGTAAACTGTAACCGTGCCTGCAATTAATATTAGTATGACTAATAGACACGTGGCTACATTAGATTGCACGGTTCTAAAAATAAAAACACATTTAGCTAAAGGTGCAGCTACTTTCAAATTTTGTGTAACTTTGTTACTTTGAACGAATTGTAACAGAACAATTGACGTGTCCACTGCAAGAGAGAGCTATGCGATAATTAGAACGTTGTGAGATACTAAGGGTTTCATTGAAAGTAGTGTACATCATAGTACACTACGATTGTATGTATACTCGTATACGATCATAGTACAGGCAGCAAACTTCGCCACGTAGTTGTAAATTAAGCCATAATAACTACACATGAACAGGTGCCAGACTTAAAAGTCTCATTTCTCAACATTTTGTGGCACAGCCCCGTCTTGCATTGGACCCAACAATTTTACGTATCGTGTATTTTCCGATAATGCACAAATACAATAAAGTTAATACTTTCATATCTTACCAAGTTCTGGAAACTGGGAGGCAAGCTATCCGTGGTAGATCGTCCGCCTAGCGGATTAATTGACATTTGCACTGGATTTAAAGTAGCCGAACCCGTTGGTTCAGGTACCGTTGTCATCACAGACGGCGCTGGATGGAATATATTATTGCTTGCAATCGGTGTATCGTACGTTTGCGTCGGTCCAGGAAAACTGTCAAAGTAATGTTGAGTTTGATTCGCCGTTGGTTGCCCGAAGGGTGAGATGTACGGATGTTGTCTCGATGTCGCGGGTTTGTGTAATTCGTTTTGAAATTGCGTAGGATTATAGAGTAATGGCGGTGGGGCTGATTGAACTGAGGCGCTGCATGTCGCGGTGGCAATCCCTGTGTGGATCGTCGAATTCGTGTCCCAGAATGGTTGAGAAACCGTTGGCGGAGGATTATTGTAGTTCAAATTGAAGAAGTCGTTCGACGATGATTGGTGTAAATCGTTTTTCGGTGTAGCTGCCACTACACCGACATTTGTGCTGATTTCTTTATACTGAGGGGTAGGAAAATGATTGCTGTCGTCCGATGAACTGAAAAACGAACTTGCAGGCTGTGCAAATAGCTGAGGCTGATCAGAAGAAGAATCCTGAATTGGAACCTCTGCGGGGATATAGTTCAGACTAGATTTCTGTTCTGTTGGTATTTCCGTATGAAAGCTAGAACTTGCAGGCTGTGCAAATGGCTTCGACTGATCGGACGGGGGATTCTGAACTGGAACCTCTACTGGGGTATAGTTCACACTCGATTTCTGCTGTCTTGATATATCCGTAAGAAAGCTAGAACTGAGCTCAAATGGCTGTGTCTGGAAATATTGTTGGAAGGATGGCACGCTCGAAGATACAGCATGACTTTTAGCTGCATTAATCTCTTCATCTGCTGCAGGCTGCTTCGGAGCGACTACTGTTGACCGCAAAAGTACAGAATCTTCTTGCGTAAGAAGTACATCGGACAACGAACCAAGCTTTGAGAAGTTGCTTTCTTTCTCGGTGTCGTTCGAAGTTGTTTCTTCAGAAGTCACGATGATTTGATTGCCTCCGGTACTTTCGTCAGATTTTATCGGCACATCGCTAGCTGTGTTCAACGAGTCTTCCTCCTGTTCAGCGAGCAAGTGTTCTAACTTTTCCGACACCTGAACTGCAGAGATCGGAGTAAACGATACGCTTGGTTTAACCTCAATCGTAGGTACAAGAATATTTGCCTTTGAAACTTGTGCGTCTACTTGACTCGGAGTGTTCCTTGCACCGGTCGATTCCTTTTCTGGATTAAATGTCAAAAAGTCTTGTTGGTTGGCATACAAGTCAAAACCAGCGAAAGAGATGTTCGCCGGTGTGTTCTGCGGGGTGGCAGGTTCCAGGAGTTGAGAAGGAATTGCTCGGGACAATGAGTGCAGAACTCCGGGCTTTCCGTTTAGAGGAACGCTCTCGTAGCCGGAATTCGGACTTTTAGGTGTTACACTTCGAGGAGTTCCAACTGTGACTGGACTAGACCTGAATGACTCTTGCAGGGAATTACCCTGTGATAATTCCTCTGACGTTGAAAATGGTACCGACGGTGAATTCGTGGAAATCGGAGTTTCGACGGGCTGATACGTTTGAAGTGGAACAATGAATTCGTTTGGATTGAAGATGGCTGGTGGTACAGCGGTTTGCGGCGTGAATAATGGCTGAACTGCGGGGGCTGTGTACTGTTTGGATGTGCTTGATGTTAAGTCGGGCGGTGGTGCGTATTTAAGACGCCTTTGATTACCAAAACGATATGAAACGTGCCCTGAAAGAAAGTAAAAAGAATCACATTAGTTCATGCAGCTAATGCAATATATGATTTACCTTACCCTATACATGTATATCTTATAGCGCTTCGTTCTTTAGATATCACCAACGTGAATGAAAGTTAAATGTTTCTACCAGTAAAAATTATACTAACTACTTACCAAATTGAATTTTTTCCATGCATACTAGAACTTTGATCGATTAGTATATTTCTTTACATTTTTATGCATGAAAATGATGAACAGTAACGATCAGTTACACGTTCATTTAAAATGTAATGTTTCTTTTTTATGACGCATTATTTATTTAAACGGTTAACCTATAAAACACCCGGGTACACGAGACATAATACCGGACGAGATATAAACCGGGGATACGAATGTAAACTGTGAAAAATTCAGTATGTTATTGCCGGCATATTATGTTGAATCAAGACCCAATTGGTCTTTTGATAGAAGTGAGGAGATGATATGTGTCTGCACATTCATCATTTTTATCAAAAGATATTCAGTTATAACCATAATGTGCAGCCTACTGTAAACAATACCAAATTCAAACTTTCGCAATGTATTCCGCTCATTATCGATATTGTTAATCGAAAAATCACTAAATACCCCAGATTCGATATTCTTGATTGTCTTATCCACCCAGACATCTCACAGATACCTGTAATTTTCGTCTACCCGCGTATACAGGGTATCCTAAGCGAGTAGGCGAAGCCACTGTATTAAAACGATAGAAGATAGAAACAAATTTCATTAGAAAAAATTAAATAATTTCGAGTGATGCATCACGTGGTGCATGTCTTCACTGAAGGTGGAAGCGTTTCAAAGGTTTCAAGGTCACTTCTATTTTTTTTAAATGGTAACTAAGTAGGGCCACTACTCTGCCTGCAAACAAAATTATTTAAACCACACTGTGTCCCCCTTCATACCCAGTAACTTTTGAACAATTATACAGAACAAGGGAGCCACCTCCGATTTCAATGACCTTGAATTATGTTGTCAAGGTCATAATTCTGGACAACTTTGTTCTATACATATAATAGTCGGTCTCTTTCACTTGCCGAGATATTCGCAAAAATATGTTTACCACTATGTATATCGAATGCTAGGTATTTGTTAAGACTTCCCCTTAAATTAATGGCGAACATTTACAGTATTTGTATATTATGAACATGTTATGAAGTAACAACGTGGGCATTTACTCAAATGTAGATAATTTTCCAGGCCACCAACATCCCACCACTCACTACCCAGTGTTAACTACATACCCAACATCCCACCAAACACAAGTTTAGTTATTAATTAATATCTAAAAAAAAACAGGAAAAAAGTTTCTTCAGTTAAAATAGACACCCTGTATACTGGTCGCACGAAATGTTCAAGGAATAGTATTAATAACGTTATCAAAATTTACCATCAGTCGATGGCGGTACGATAGGCGGCAACGTTGGTTGTCTTGGGGCTGACAAAGACGAAGCGGTTCCAGAACAAACCTCACCAGATCCTGCGAAATTCGTACGTCCTGGGTCGTGGAAATTAGGGACTAGAGGTGACTGTGCGTCTCTCAAAGAGTCGTAACGATCATGCGAAGGCACATAAGGATTCGTATCTTGTACTCTGGCCGCGTTCTCCAGTCCTTGGTTTCCTTGAGTTCCCGTTAAATCTCCAGTAATCGACGATAAAGACAGATTTGGAAGTGATGAAAGTATCGAGGTAAAATATCCTTGCCTCGCCGACTGATTTTCTGGACTTTTGGTATTTTCGGAATGTAATGGTATAGGCGTGAATTCGGAGTCCGTACCGGCTGAAGTCGCCGGTGAAGTCAAATTATGCGAACTGACTGGTCCCTGTCCTACGAAGTTGTCCAGTTCAACATCTAAAACCAACGGGAAATTTTGTTTTCAATTTTGGTATAATCTCTTCGGACAAATTATGTAAACTAATGTTCATATAGAATGATTTAAAACAAACGGAACACTACGTTAGCTATTTTCCTGCGAGAATATTAAGTTGTACATAACATGGCATTTTTATTAATAAAAATTATTAACAGTGATTATCAGTTGCACGGTCATTTCAATAATAATTATTAGAAACCATTATTTGTTTGGGTAGTAAACCTACCTCATAATGCTTTGGAACAAAATAAATATTTGATCGAAATGAAATTCATTTGAAGTCTATATGTATGTATATTTAAATTTTAAGTTCCGTCTAGCTTTCTTTGGGTCTCCACTCGCAGCAACCTCCTCGTAGTGAGATCCGGGCAATCGGTATCATCCTCGGTAAAGTATTATAAGCCGAAGATAATACCGAGCTAATGGCTGCGAATTTAGCATTAATTTCTCTAGTTATAAGAATGAATGTAAATCGAACATTTTTGATGACCGTACAATCTCATATGAGACTTAGAATATTTTAAGGCTAAATGTAAGATAGAAAATTTTTATTAATTATAAGAATACGTGAAACTGATTACTTTAATAAGGTGTAAGAAAGCACATACGTATACGTACCTATATTCGACGGTTTTAACAAATTCATTCCCTTATGATTACTTCCCTTCGCTCAGTGTTTACTTTTATATCTATATGTATACCTATATGTATGTACCTACATAGGTTTCTCACGCAGAAGAAATATTTTTTAATTTTCATGTTCATAAGATGAAACAAAGATCCTTAAAAAAATATACCCATCGTTGATATGCTGTTTTAAGGAATACTCCTCGCAAATTTGAAAACATTCTTAATATTTTTGCATTCTAAAAATAACTTTCCGCATAAAACAAAAAATTAGTTAAAGTGAACGATCCCTTACGTAGAAAATGAACAAATATGAAGTTCGTATCTTTAATAATTGTCGAGATAAAAATTCTTTTGTGAAAGTAATTTTCGTAAACATCGGTAAAAATTTCCAACTTTAAGTGTCCACATTTTTTAAACAATTCATGGTGCAATAAAAATTCGTGTTTCGATTGCTGTTTTGTTAAATATTACTCACTCACGTGTAACAATACAGAATAGAAGTATACTATGTGTATTTGAAAACATCCATTGTATGTAGGTGCAATACATTCGAATACACCATGCAGTAACTGTTATGTGTTTACTATATTAGGAAACAGATATATTGCTAAATGGCAACACTATGCATTTAAGCGTTGTTAACTGCAAAACTTTTTACTATTGTGACAATATTATGATAAAATACATTTGTACAGATCTTAATCTATTAACGACGTAATCAGTTACGAGTGAGAACCTGAACACTCATTACTTTCATTATTAGTCTCCTACTAATTACATTGGCAAAATGTTAAACGTTCTTGTTTAGAAATTGAATGTTTACTCATGCAATGTAATGACGCTATTCGTATAAAGTAAAGTGGACAATAGATTCTTTTGCAATTAAATTCGCAAAATTTATTAATATCAGCAATATATTTCTATCTCTAATGTCACAAAAATGAAAGATAGCTGAATATGTCTATAAATTGAATTGAAATCATTTTGTATACATATGTACATAAAATATTGCAATGAAATCCATTGGGTAGCTATAACTTTGTCCAGTTAAATTGTTTTCAGTTAGTTTGTATAAAATTCTGATATCATCTTTACTTATCAGTTTACATACTTCAAACGGAAAAAAAGCTAGAGTCTGTACTATACATAGGTACTTTATATTATTTTCAAGTGAATAAGGCTATGCGCTCATCGTTAATCTCGACTGACCTCCCACTTCACTCTATCTTTCAAACTGAAGTCATCGATTCTACATTTTTTCAACCATTTTAGAATAAGACCTTCGTGAATCAGTACTGTGGTTGTAGATATTGCATATGATGTTCGATTTCTTGTTTTTTTAGTTATGTAAAAACGAATATTTCGTACATTTAAAATCACACAGGGTGGGCCAAATAAGGTATTACAAGCTGTTTTTTCGCAATTATTGCAGATATCGACTTGAATTTTTTTATATTAAATAGGACAGGGAGGTACTCATTTAATGAATAATAAATTTTTCTGAGGACATTCACTCATAGGGGGACAAAAGGAGCCTCCCTAATTCTTTCTAAATAGAATGACGTATTATCTTATCGGACTTAACACATTGATGCACGACTTTTTCTCTCTATGCATTAACTCTCTTAGTACCTACGAGCGAATACATCGGATTTATGGGTTTTCCAAAATACACCTTGAACTGATATGTCGACTTCTCATTTTCAATATAATCTATACACATTCAATATAATGACACTTTATTTTTGTAAAATAAGTTTATATGTATAGTTTATATTTAGAACATATGTTTACTGGATAGGAATAATAAAATTAAAAAACCGTGAAAAAATCTTCATTTTTAAGAGAAATGTGTTAATAGAAATATGTTTAATAGATACCTCAACAAGCACATATTTTCCAAGGTATTTTTGGATGGTACCCGGAAAACTTATACGCTACCTAGTACAGCAAATCCTCGATGTGTGTTCGAAGGCTCCTCGACATTGATAAGGAGAGGTCCCCAGGTGCAACGTTAACTTTTTAATGAGGTTCAGTACAGTGATAGAGCTTGGAATTCCGACGTCAGTGATATTTGTTTCAGTCGCATATGGCCATTAGTTTATGAAATATTTAATATTCAGTGCCGAAGAACCCTTGCACACTCATCGACGATTTACTGTATAAGGGTTAAGCCCAACGATGGGCAAAGATGGCTCCCGGGAGCTAAAACCTGTCCACACCACCGTCAGCCGTTACCACTGAGTAACAGAGACAAGATTCCGAGCATCTTTCTTTCTATGAAGGCAGATGATGCAAAAAAACAGCTGGAAGGGGAAGCGACCACGTGAGGGGTCCCTAAACTGTCTAGTGCTAAGTTAAGCGATATCGCGTCAACGGACGCCACCGTATTAATAACGTTCACTTCAAACCTTTTATTCTGTATTATTGAAGGATTATCATCATATAGATATCATTTAGAGTTGTTATTATTATTAACTAAAGAAGTAGGACAAAGAATACTTTTCTCAAGAGAAACTTCGGGGAGGCGCGAAAGATATCAAAATAAACGTATTTTGCGTTGAGATTAGTTTTATTAAATGTTCCAAGTGGTGTCCTTGGACTTCTAAACAATCATTAATACTTTCACGAATACTCGTTCGAACATCTGATAACATTAATGGAGTAGGTAATAGATGCATAGACAGTATGTATTTCTATTCTCATAGCTTTCTTTATTGTAGGTGCAATAACCATCACTTTACGTTTTATTCAACGATAAGAGAAATCTAACGACGTTAAATCTGGTGACCGAGGTGACCATAAAACAGGACAGCCACGTCCAATCCATTTATTTTCAAATCATTCACGTATTTCTAGCAAACTCTGCTGGAGCACAGTCATGTAACTTTTTAATTGCGCAGAAAAAAGGCAAAACGCTTCACATAAATGTTATTAAATTCGATAAGAATTATCCAAATAGAAAATATTAATACGCAGTTTTGTTTTTTAAAAACTGAGGAAAGCCTCCTTTGTCTCCCCAGGAATGTACCCAGAAAATTTTCTTACACGCCAAATGATTAGCTGTCTCATTTAATGTGAAACAAATTAAAGTCAAAATCTACAGTGATTTCGAAGAAAAGCTTGTAACACTTTATTTGGCCCACCTGGTGGAAACACGATTTCTATCAAACTACAGTAGACTGTAACTATATTGCCACTGAACACATTGCCGCATGAGGCACTTCCCCTTCACACGTACTTTCGCGCACACAAATTCGCTCTCCCACCATGTTGCGTATGCCGGCGCACCAGCACGGTCCAGCTTCTGCGCAGGCGCTAAGACCGAGGCCATGGCGATAGAACTTAGCATGGATGAGGGCTCTGAACTCATTGCCATTTTACTCCCCAACAGCCCCGAACATGTCGATATTGTTAGAGTCTACTGTACACTGAAATTAATTATCAAACATATTAAAAGGTGCAAAATCGAAGTTAACACTCTCAAGGAATACCATACAGCTAATCCTAGGTCAGTGCATAAGTAATTTCGATTACGTTCTAAAGCCTCGAAATATCGTACATACACGGAAAGTAGAATTTTCTTTGTACTATATTAATTCGATAATGTTTATCGACAGTCGATGAAAATAACGTGAATACATGAATAAAACTTTTCCTTAACTGAATTGTTTAAAAAGAAGGGACGATAGGATAATCGTACGACATTGCATTCTCTTCGTATTCTACCAAGAAAAGTCACGATGAGGACTTGTTTCGTCTGAAAGAGTACGTCATATTGGTTCGAGAGATCCATAAATGGTGATCTTGAAATTATAGTGTTAAGCAACATTTGGTTGGGCTCGAGTAATGTAAGCAGACGTTCTACAAGTACCTATTAATGAACGAAAATCCTGCACAGTCACCTTATGAGTTTGCAATTAGAGATTACAATTAGAGGTTGATCATTCACCAGTAATTTCGACACTTACATGAATGTGGCATTCTATATGTGTTATCCGAGGACAACATTGCACAGCGTCTCAGAATCTACTGAAGAGAGTCAACTTCAATCTCTTGAATCTACTTCAATACATAATTGAAAACCCAATAATCCGAACGGTTTAAAAAACCTAATTTGTTAATTCCTAAAAACGATTGATTTATTTTGCCTTTCAACTCATTCTTTTCACTTTAGCTGATTAAAGTAGGTCATACAAGTTCGACGGGCCATAAGTAGGTACCTAAATGATTAGCGAGTCGCGGGTTGCTCATCGCCGATTTAGATCAATGCAGCACTCTTTGCCTAGGATGAATTTTCAAAACATCGCCAATATTCTAAAATAGGTCGATGACTTTCTCGATTCAA